GGTGCCATCAAGTTTAAACCGCGATAAGTTGAATTAATTGGACAAACATACATTTTGTTCGATGAACAAAGGAAGTGAGTTCTGAGACAATTGAACATTCCTACCAGTTTTTCCATTTGACAATTTTCACACAATTGCAAATTCAATTCAATATGTCGCCATTATGTTTATATTGGCCTCAGTAAATCTATTTCGATATATTGGAATCTAAATTTTCTGAACAATTCACAATTTATTTTTTAAATCTATTTATTTTAATATGTTTTATTTTTTAAATAAAAATCGTGCTTTAATATTTTGTCTTAAGTCTATACAAATTGATTGTAACTTGTGAAAGAAAAGAAACCATATCTAGAAAATAAAATTAACTTTAAATGTATATTAAACTTAATTAGACAGAAGAAAACACTTTGAATTTTAATTAAACGATCCATCAACTTAACTAGTATATTCAAATTAATTTAATTATTTCATTAATAATATTATGATTTAATTTTACGCTCTACAAAATTATGTTTTATGTTTACTTGTTAACATTCTGTTCATTTGGGTCGAGTTGAATTTGAACACAAACATGTCTGTGTTGTACGATGAAGTTTTTCACAAACAATATTTTCAATGTCTCGTTTATAATTTATTTCAAAAAGACATTACAAATGATCTGTTAATTAGATATCAGTTTTAATTATTCATTGACTTATTTGATGTTCGTTTGTTACGTGAAAAATAATCTTATACGCTGGTGTTACATTGTAATTAGTAATTCTTGAATAAAACTCCTATGCATAATGTAAAAATATTTTTAAATGTAATAAAAGTATTGATTATTCATATTTGAAATAGATATTATTAAAACTCTTTTTTGAGCGGGTGCAATATTATATAATATGTCATAGTATGCCATTTTGTAAAAATTAATTTTATTGTTATTTTATCCGTATGATTTCAAATTATTTTTATTTGAATGTATCCTATGATTTTTTAATTAATGTAATATATCTACGTACAACGTATTTGCATACACCTTCAATCGGTATAGCGGTTATTTGATTTCTGTTTTAGATTAAATGAATTATAATAATGATTTTTAAATTATATTTGCTCAATTCAGAAGTATAAATTACTGCATATAAAATATTGATATTTTATAAAATATAAATTAAATATGATTTGCATTTTTTACTCATAATGTTTGCAATTTTTTATATTTCATTGTGCTTGTATAATTATATTGTTTATGTATGACTATTGTCGACCAACACAATATAACGCATTTGTCGCATATGATACATTTATTTTTACACATATAGTAATGTTCTAATACAAAGGAGAAAACTTATAGTTCTGTGTACTTCGTATGGTTTATTGAGTTATGTTCATGCAAAAACTGTACTGTGGAAGTTTACTGGATTAATTTCTGGTTAAACTTTCTGACTATCTTAATTGATTTGAGGAACTTTAAGTTATAACATATGAGAAAAAAGTGCATTTCAATATTAAGTTTCTGTCTTTAGTATTGAAGAAACAAATTTATGAATTTAACCTTAATTTTATAGGGAATTCTGATAGCAATAATATTATTGTTTATGTAAATAAAAATCAATTTATATTTAATTTAATATTTTTTTATAGTTCATTTTTATTTTCCAATTCATTTCCTAAATTAAATTATTGTCAAATGTAATAGACAATAATTTTTATGGTAATTTTCCTTGACGTGCAATTCACTTCAAAAAATATTTATAATTTTGTGATAACCAAAAAAAAAATAATCAAAATTTAATTTAAAAAATAGAAGTACAATTATTACATATAATACATACTATTTAAATTTCATTAAATATCAAAAAGGAGAATAAAAAGTTATTTAACATCAAATTTATTTCTAACATGATTTTTTTATTATACACTGCTATGTTGTATTTGAACAGAAGTTGATAATAATAATATTATCATGTTTCATAAAATATTAATTAGATATCAAATCACCTGAATTTAATAAAATATATATATAACAATGTTTGTTGTTTATAGATGATATAAAAATAAATTAAAATTTTGATCAAAAATATTAAGATTAACTGCTTGCTTCGTTTATTTATGCCAATTAAATATATTTATTAATTTGTGTGAACACATAATAATTTTTGCACTTTTGAATTTGCTAAATTAGACTATTTTTTCAGAAGAAACCATTTCTATTAATATAATTTTTTAGAAGGAAAATTTTTTTAATATTTAACTTTCACGTGTTTATTAACGATTTGTATTAGTTTTAGAAAAAAAAATCAATGAGCTTATTTAATGATAAATCTATAAAATACTTAAAACTTAAATTTCAATGAATATAGTGACGTAGATTAGCAAAAAAATGTATAAAATATGTAATTTTGTAGATGTTCTTGCTATGACTAGAGACGTAAACAGAATATAAACCATTGGTATATTTTTTTCTAATTGTTTTTTTTTCCTTAATACATATTTTTAATTGTTTTATGCATTCTTGAGCCATCAACGCGCACACATTATTCATTAAACATAAAAAAACAAACAGTAGAGTGTTTTTATGTTTTTTTACATCTTTAACTATACTCTCCCCCATTATGTAATTCTGGCTATACCAGTGAATAATCATTAAATATATTTTTTATTCTAAAAAAAAATCAACTTTATTGTCGATTTACTATTATTACAACTTTATTTAAAAAATTCCGAAATTCAGTAAGTTTGTTCGCTTTTTTATTATCGAACATTGATAGTATAATGACAGAAATGTGAGTGAAATTGACTGTCGATCAATCATGTAAACATTAAACAACAATATGTATGAAGATTGTCTTTCTCCGTTTGTTGGTTGTCCGTTTCGTTTTGCCATCACCCATGTCGACGATCCGTCTCAATTATATGGTAGTTGTACACAATGCGTAGAACTTTGATGTGGAGATAATGGATAGGGGAGGGCGAATGAATGGGTAATTTAATAAGTTTCAAATTTTATTACATTCGCGTCCCAAAAAAACATTATAGCCGACAAACGGCTCCTAATATTACACATGACTAGTGTGCGTACTAGCGTTAACATTTTTAGTAGGATCGATTTCGCATATAATAAGATGGGTGAATAAATAAAACGAAATTGTATAAATTCTCAACCACGACACCCGGAGTCATGTAGGTGTAACAATGTATATTATAAGCACTTAAGAGTTTGTGAAAATCTGTTGCACATTCATTTTGGAATTATTTCAAATATCTTGTGCCAAAAAAAAAAACAAATAATCAAATAAATTTTCCGATCACGGTAAGAAAACTTAAAAAAATAGAATTGCAAAAATTATAGGTAGCAGTATTATTTAATAAAAATCTGTTAACTTTAGCGTTATGGATACAGTTAAGTTTATAGTAATAATATTTATTATTACTCTAATTATCTTTATCGTCCTCTCTGAAAAACTATGTTTGTATTAGAGAGAACGGAAAAACCTATATAGTCCAGCACAACGAAATTAATCACATTCATTCTAATTTTTTAATTTACGTACAACAGTTTTATAGTTAAAGTATCAGTATGTATAATGAATGTTATATTAACCAATAAAAAATAATGCATTTTTGCAAATGTAATTTATTTAAAAAAGTGTCATTTGAAACTACAATACTTGATGTTTCGTTAGATTAATATATATTTTCGAGTTTTATTATTTTATTAATTATTTATTAATTTATTCTTTTATTCAAATAAAATCAAAAATTAATAATTAATAATTAGATGAAAATCTATCTCGTTTTACATCTAAAAATGAAAATTACGTTTTCAGACTAAGGTTAAAGATCCGTTTTGAAAATTGCTCATAATTGATCAATTTGCTGAAGTATTGTCCTCATCTCTATACACCCTTAATACTTAAAAGATTATTTTAGCGTTTATGACATGGTTAAAAATATGATTCAAGGCATTCTCCATCTTATTTACTTTTATTTTATTATTCATATAATCGTCTATATTATCTCCAAAACTAATTGCAAATTTTTTTATATAGTCAGGAGTTTAGAAATTGAATAAGTGAAGGTCATTTTTTATAAATCAGTCAAAGCTATTTAAAATATATTTTTTAAAAATATTTGTATTTATAGCATGAAAAATTGTTTAATATAAAATGTTTTGTATTTAAATTACTAAAATATATCCATAACATAGTATCCATTTCAAATTCAAATGCATCTGGTTGACAATATACAGAGTGATTGATTTATCATTGACCATTAAATTATCTTAAAATTTAATATAAAAGTGTCATGGCTATTTTCAAGAATTTTTAATATTTTACTCAAATATGGGAGAGTGAGCAAATAATGCCAACTTAATAATTCCTAGTAAAAAATATACTAATAGAAATATAATTAATTTCTAACAAAAATTAAAAAAATAAATGCAATAAAAAATGAAAATTATCTATAATTTATTTATCTTCATAAAAATAAAACTGAGTCCTAGGTATGTTAATGATACCTTAATTAATCGTCTTGTCTTCAAAATCATCTTTAACAATAATATTTTTATTTCACAACAATATAAGCATTTAAACTACATATATTTATACGTAATTTATTTGAATATCATTTTATAGAATCAAAATATCATGTCATAATTATAAAAAATTAAACAAATTCAATAAAAATTCTAGAAAAATATTTTAATAAACAGTAAATAATAAATTCATAGTGAGCGCCATTGTCTCACTTAATTCCTTATTTTACCAATAAGGGTCGTAAATATTTAATTCAAATGGATAATTAAAATTATTTATACTTAATGGATAATAGTTTAGAAATTTGATAGAATAATATGTGAGTAATTAAGACTATAAGATACTTTCAGTGAGTTATTTGTATGTAAAAAAATACTCAGATTTTTTGTTTATATGGTTTTTTATTTTTTATTTACTTAATATAATTATTCACTTATAACAAGTACTTCTTATAATTAAGGGAAAATAAGTTAATGAGAATGTACAAATATTTATCAGATTCCTTGTCAATACACATATTATATTAATTGGATGAAAACTACAAAAAACTTGTATCTTATAAACTAACAAGTGTGTTAAGCTTCTGCTTCTTCGTCTTCATCCCCTTCATCATCTCCTTCCACGGTAGCTTCTTGATACTGTTGATACTCAGACACCAGATCGTTCATGTTAGATTCAGCTTCTGTAAATTCCATTTCGTCCATACCTTCGCCCGTATACCAATGCAAAAACGCTTTCCGACGGAACATTGACGTAAACTGCTCGGAAACGCGTTTAAACATTTCTTGAATTGCTGTGGTATTACCGATAAATGTTGATGACATCTTTAATCCCCTAGGTGGTATGTCGCAAACGGCCGTTTTGGTATTGTTAGGTATCCAGTCAACAAAGTACGCCGAGTTCTTTGTTTGAACGTTCAGCATCTGCTCATCCACCTCCTTCATAGACATGCGACCGCGGAATATACTGGCTGCCGTTAGATAACGACCATGTCTAGGATCACACGCGGCCATCATATTTTTTGCGTCAAACATCTGCTGAACGAGCTCTGGTACAGTTAACGCTCTGTACTGTTGGCTGCCTCGAGATGTCAGTGGAGCAAATCCACAAATAAAAAAGTGTAAGCGAGGGAATGGTACCATGTTGACTGCTAACTTTCTAAGATCTGAGTTCAACTGACCGGGAAACCGGAAACAAGTGGTTACACCACACATTGCTGCGGAAACCAAGTGATTAAGATCACCGTAAGTGGGAGTGGTAAGTTTTAGTGTTCTAAAGCAGATATCATAAAGTGCCTCATTATCAATACAGAAAGTTTCATCCGTGTTTTCCACCAGTTGATGAACCGACAGGGTAGAGTTGTATGGTTCCACTACAGTATCTGATACCTTTAAAAGAGTAAAAAATTATTAGGGAGTTAATTAAATTAAACAATGGGAAATTTACTTTAGGAGAAGGAACAATACTATATGTCGTCATTATGCGATCAGGGTACTCTTCACGTATTTTTGATATAAGCAGCGTACCCATACCTGACCCGGTACCACCTCCTAATGAATGCGTTAGCTGAAATCCTTGTAAACAATCACAACTCTCAGCTTCCTTCCTAAACAGTTATTTAAAAATTTAGTTGGAAAAATTCAAATTAAATTCATTTTACGGACCTAACAACATCCAAAACGGAATCAACTAATTCAGCGCCTTCTGTATAATGACCTTTTGCCCAATTATTTCCGGCACCTGACTGTCCAAATACAAAGTTATCCGGACGGAATATTTGCCCGAAAGGGCCGGCACGTACAGAATCCATCGTACCCGGTTCAAGATCCACTAATATAGCACGAGGTACATATTTGCCGCCTATATTGAGAAAATAAGAAAATAAATTATTATTATTAATTTAGTATAATTNTGTCCAAATACAAAGTTATCCGGACGGAATATTTGCCCGAAAGGGCCGGCACGTACAGAATCCATCGTACCCGGTTCAAGATCTACTAATATAGCACGAGGTACATATTTGCCGCCTATATTTATTGAGAAAATAAGAAAATAAATTATTATTATTAATTTAGTATAATATGATTAACCGAAATAAAGTCTAACCAAGAGCTTCAGAATAATAAACATTAATACGTTCAAGTTGTAAATCCGAATCTCCATGATAAGAACCAGTTGGGTCAATACCGTGTTCGTCTGAAATTACTTCCCAGAACTGTGAAATAAAAAAATTAAACTATCATCTACACGTAAAGATTTGCTCGGCATATACCTTGGCTCCAATTTGGTTGCCACATTGGCCAGCTTGTAAGTGACATATTTCACGCATAATTTAGATTTAACGGTTAATTATCAAATAAAAACGAATTAATAAGAATCACAATATAAAAACAATCAATGAACAGTGACCATAAAAGACTAACTCGATAAGCAAAGACTAAACTACTAATGACTTCAATATAAAAAATACACTTTATTTGTACTGTAGTAATATATACTAAAATCGTTTTACTAATGGCCAGCATATTATTTAACAATTTTTATCAAACAAGAATGGATTGTGTTCAAATATTCATTGATGATTACTAATTCACTGATTTTTTAAACATATTATATTTTTTCAATATAAATCATTTAAAAAAAAATTATTTATTTTTAAAATTAGTTTAAAAATATGTCTTTTTAATACATTTATGGAATTATTTTATTACTGGTAAAAATAGAAAAATGTTCATAAATTAAAAAATAAAATCTATATTAATGATTGATTATTATCATACTAAATTATATAAGTTTAAGAAATAAGATAACAATATCTAAAAATTGTGAGTTGATTGTGTTGTCGTTGTTTTTTTCACCCTTATATTTACTCTTTTAACTTTTCTCTCTTATCAACCACATTGAATTCCTTCGTTATGATTAACAAATACAGTTTAATATATTTTTTTTACGGATAGATTATTTTCAACTCTTGGTATGTAGTATCTTAGCTTTTAAATAATAAAAATTTATTTCTGCTTTTAATGTTTATTTTACTTGGGGCATTATTTGTATAAAACTATCTTGCCTTGTCACTGTCGGCAGTGTTAAGTCTGACGTAGAGAATATTAACTACTGCATCCAATTGACAGATGAATATAAACAGCGGTAGATCGCTATTGTCTGTATACTCAGCAGCTTACCTGTCAATTAAAACCCCTCATAGAAGTTACAAAGCGCTGAAATCAGGATTGAGATTTATAATTTTATCTTATAGAATTAAAACCACTTCATAAAAGTTTATATCTTTATGTTTAATTCTAGTTTTGTTACCCTTTAGTATACGTATTTATATTTATCTAATTTTTGATTCAATTAAAATATTTTCTTATTTACTACGACTTCTTATTTAGTTAAATTTAAATACTTTTAAAAATCAAGTATTTTAGTATACATCCTAAAAATTTAGATTCTTTAATGTATTTTATGAAATCCGTCAACACAATAAAATTTGGTGTATTATCAATTGTATATTAATTATTTAATATGGAATGTATTAAAAAAATGTTTGAACTCAAAATTTTTATATATTGACTTCATTTACGTAAACATAAACTGTTATTAAATAATACTATAATGCAAATATTTTGTTTGGTGTTTTTAGTGTTATTCTATTTATTTTTCCAGTTAAACTTACTTCGAAGGAAAAACTTTTCTTAGCCTTAAATTGGATACGGTTAATTGGCCAGTAATCCCGTTTATCTTATTCATTTCTCTTTATTTATTCAACGTTTCGTAAAAATTATTGTGCTTTTGTAAAGTTAACGCGTTGTAGGTTTAATTCAACTAATTAAAGACAAATAAATTTCTAAAATGTAAGCATTTTCTTAAAGCTTATTATTTGTTTCATATTTTAAACCCAATGTAATTATTATAATGTATTGTTAATAATAATAATAGTTTATCGACGCATTTTAAAGCATTAGAAAGACTTATGTATATACATATAATCCATCTATTAGTAACAAACTAACCATCTGCCCTGGAGTAATTGAGGTTCAAAAATATCCTATTTGGAGAAGGCCTTAATAGGACGTAAAAAGCACGAAAAAAAACAAATAAATGAAAAAATATTCAGGGAAAAAATATGTTTCCCTTATTTACTTATGGTTATTGCTTTATATCAAAATGTTAGATTTACAAAATATAGTTTATGCTCATTATTACAATTGAAATAAAAATAAACTTAAGTTTACAAGGGCTTATCGTTAGGAGTATTTCCAAATTTAATCGAAAAAATATAAACAGGTTTTTAGAAATAATGAAAGATTATTTCATCGAACTAATCTTAGTAGTTTGAACAATTTAACTATCATGTTTAAATTTTATAAATGAACCACTATGAAATACAGTTAAAATGTCTTTTTGGTTTTCAATTATCTAAAGAATTCTTTACTGTCAAAATGTACAAGTTATTTAAAAATAGAAAAATATTTTATCATTGTTTATGCTTTATACATGTATCTATTGTTGAATTCACTAAGAGCTATCTTTTATTTCTAGATTCATTCTAAAAATATACTCCTACGTTATGTATGTTTTTCATGGTTTTTCTGTATATTCCATGGCGCCATTTCTGTGTATATACCAGTCTTATATACAATTTCCGATACATTTTGTATTGAATGTTGATGGAGACAAAAGCACACCTTTCATATGTTCTACGCTAACACGTTCCATTACATTAATGTTCCTGGAATGAAAAATCAGCAAGAAAAAATATTCTAGTGTATTTTGAAAAAAGAAATCTAATATTTGTCAAAACTCCTACTTACCGAGAATTTGATCAAATAAATCTTTTATTTAATTCATTTAATGAATAGTTTATCTGCCCTAAATCTAGATTTACTAAAAATATGTCAACAGTTTACAAAAAGTTATAAATGAAGAGAATTTGAAATACTCTTGATTTAATTTAGCTGGGAAAATATTAAACTGGGAGCTGAAACCCTCTAAATATGTCAGTTTTTAAATTATAAGTCTCATTTTAAAAGTATTTTTTTGACTAAAACAAAATTCTAATTCCGCCACCATATTTTTTAGTTTAAAAACTTATATTTGTTCAACAAATGAAGATTTATTAAAATACATTGTGCTAACAGTCTGTCACTAATTTATTTTGAATAGAAAATTTTCAGCATGATTATTACCTATTATATTTGTTTTGTTTCAGGTATGTCTTTATGTCAATGAAAAAATGCAATCATACTAGTAAGTATAATTTTAACAATGCCATACCCCAGTTCTTTAAAATACTAACTTTTGTGAAAGTTTAACATATATCTAATAATATTATAATATTGTCAAAATTCATAACAAAATAAGATAATTTAACTATGACTAATCATTGTAGTTTAAAATTATAATGCTTAATTAGCAACCAACATAACATGTTGAGGTGAGCATTCATTTAACTTTTTTTATTTCAAACTAAATGTAATTAAGATACAAAAGAATAATAACAATTTTTGAATCATGGTTAATAAATTTTACACAATGTTAACGCCCAAATATCCAACTCATTGTGGTAGTGGGTTATTGATGATTAACAGATTATATAGAGTGGTGTAGCTGTAGAGTAAGCTAGTCAAAAACTGGACGTCACTGGAGACATCGATGCACTCACGAAATGCGTAATTAGAAAATTTGTAATTTGTGATTTGTAAAAATGTAGTTTATTTATTATTATACAAACTGTTGTTTTCGCATGCTACCGTATGCTATTTAGTTCATCGGCCACGGATGTGATATACAAAATAGACGTTAGAAAAATAAGAAAATATTAAATAATAAACGTTAGTGGTTCATAAAAAGTATATACCGTGTGGCCAGACGGCAAACTGTGTGGTAGTGCGAAAGGTACGAGAGTTATTTAATAAACAAAGACGTCCGTAGACATTTTTTATGGGGGGGGGGGGGTAAAATATTTTTTTTAAATATTTGTTTTCACCATTCACTCAATACACCTAGCGTTGACGGGTCACAAATTGTCAAGTCTGAAAGCAAAATAGCATCTCAAAAATTACTTATAAATTTGTAGCTGTTAACGTTACTAGATTTTTTTTACGGTGTTTATTATATATGATCAACATTTTATGATTTAATTTAATCATTTAATCAATGCTACGGGTAGATTATCGCCAATACAACATTTTTTTATCTACGCGGATCATTGAGCGGATATGCCTTATATTCTATTAAATGCCTTAGTATGTCAGCTGACAATTATACTATAGCTTGAAAAACACTAACAGAACCATTTAATAATATTACTCAGTCTTGTTAAAGCAATGATAAAATCGAATACAATATTAAACGCGTTATTCGATTATAAAACTTAGAAGATTCTGTGTTATTTATTTTATCATAAAATTTGACTTGTAAAAAATTATAAGTAAAGATTTTAAAAGTATTTTAATTAACTTGAATGATTGAAGTTATTTTTTTTGTGCTTATGAAATGATTTAAATACGATAATTATTATTTGGTATTTTATGTATGACTGAATTACATACTACTTATTTTAAGCTTTATTAAAGTCAACTTTTTTATTTATTTATTTATAGCATTTAAATGCTAGTTGTTTAACTTGCTTAATTTACATTTTGTTAGGTTAATACAAAAAATAGAAAAAGAAAAGATTGCAAGTGTTGAGTGATTACATAGTCGGTTTCAAAGTATTTATATTACCTAGGTTTAATTATATTATGTGTTTGGAACAGTTAGTTTGATTTAAATTAATGACTCAAGTTCCACAACACCACTGTCTTGAGGAAGTTATTTGTTTATGTTTCTTTTCCGAGTACTAGGATACCTTTGAGTGAACTTGTTCAGATATTTGAAATATATGTGGCTTGATGGTAAGTAGGGTATTTGAGAAAGATATGGATAATTGAGAGTTTGCATTGACATGTATCGCAAATAGTTTCGGATTCATTAGACATAAGATAAGAGTGTGTCTTGTGTGGCCCATGCATACTTTAGTTATTATGGTCTTTTGGTGTCTGCTTAGTATGGCTTGATGTTCCAGTCATTTAGTAGTAGATGGTTTGACTTGCCGTAGTTTGTTAAATGCTTTTTTTACCGTCGTTTTCTCTAGAGTGATTCATATTTTGTGTAATGAGTGTGAGTTGCATCTTTATATGTTATGTGTTAGTATATTTCTATCTCAGGGTATTCTACTGTTGATAATGCTAGTTTATCAGCAAGTTCATTATCAGAAATACCCATGTGAGATGGGATCCACATAAGACTGACGATTTTATTGCTTGTGAGAATTGTATTTTGAATGGTCTGAGCAAGATTATTTTTGGTGTGAATGTTTGTAATTGATGTAACTACAGTCATAGAGTTACTAGAAATGATAATTTTATTTAATGAAAATTTTATGGCTTCAAG